CGGGCTAAATAACCACATGTATAGAATAAATAATGTACAGTCCCCATTGTGTTGATGTCAGATGGGGATAACTGTCTGCAGGCTGTTAACTAAACTTGTACTTACGAAGAGAAGCCTGGCCTCAAGAGCAAAGTGTACAGAGCAGGTTGGTGGGCAACATGGAGAACCTGCAACTGCCATACGATTTCTTAGAAGCAGCCCATCTGAGCTTCTGACCTGAGTACACGAAACTGGACGCCAAGAAGAAGAAGAAGAAGAAGAAGAAGAAGAAGAAGAAGAAGAAGAAGAAAGAAGAAGAAGAAGAAGAAGAAGAAGAAGAAGAAGAAGAAGAAGAAGAAGAAGAAGAAGAAGAAGAAAACGAAGAAAACGAAGAAGAAGAAGACAAAGAAAAATGTATGCTATTTATACACTGAGAAGCAGGAAATCCAATGGACGGGGCATCTTGCTGGGAGGCAGATTTACTACTTACCAACACAGGTTGCTACCTCTAAGACTGGGATTCTCAATCTTTCTAATGTCGCGACGCTTTATTACAGTTCCCTCGTTTTGTGGAGACGCCCAAAAAATTGTGTTCCTTCATAACTTCAACAGATATGTTTTTTGATAGTCTTAGAGGACCCCTTTAAAAGGGTCGTTTGATCAACAACGACAAAAAAGGGTCGTGACCCGCACGTTGAGAATCGCTGCTCAAAGACGAGCTCAAACGAAAGCAAAGAAGTGTTCCAGAAGAAGATAGATTGATGCATTAAAGACATTGTATCTTTTTCTTCTTCACGTTCAACGGCTCCAAACTCCGGTATAAAGTTCTGGGTGTTTGTCCATCTTCGGACTTTGGTCTTCATTTAGAACCTGAGTGTTGCTTGCACACTTCTGGCTTATTTGTATACAGACTCGTGGTTCCCTGCCTCTCTTAGACTTGGAAGGATGCCCCAGTTAGTCGACTTTTATGACATGCTTGGTGGGAATGCAGTGGGTCTATTCTGCCCCCCCCCCCACAATGGGTCCGCGGAACCTGTACGGGGAAAGACATTGTATCCAGAGTAAGGATACAGATATTGTAATAGATACTACCTGTTCTCTGTTAAAGGCGAGAACACGTGGGACAGGAGAATAAATATGCCCGGTGAATTCCAGTGGCCGTAACCAGAGGGTTTTAGATAAAATTGTGTGGGCAGTTCAGTCCCCTAGGATTTTAGCTGAAACTGTTGGCAGTTCAGTCTACTAGGTGTTAACGTGCCTAAAGTGAAAATAAAGCGATGTTGAAGAGACTTGCGGAGTCTGTCGTTGGAGTGGCTAGATTTGATGGCTGCCACCTCCATGCCGTGGACACCTTGGTGATCCTGGGAACTGAAGTGCAATGGTGCTGGTTTCAAGGCACCATTCTGCACATCCAAAAGATGTCTGGACCTGTCAGCCCTGTCAGTGTCGGTTTTGGAAGGGCGCTCTGGCATGTGGACAGATAGCAGCATGCTTTTTATCTAACGTATAGGTGATAACTTTTCCTCGGAAGGTAACAAGGCTAGCCTAGATACGGACCAAGATACATTGGCTACACGTGGTCTCTTTGATACTACCCAGCCTTTGTACTGCAAAAAGGAAGACCGTCATCCTTGGCTATATTTGGTCGGCACGGGCAATGATTCACATATATCTCTATAGCGCAATAGAACACTATCCTGGAGCAGACAGTGGGGAACCAGCAGCAAACACCGTTCAAATGCAATGACGATAGCTGATGTTACTTTTTGAGAGCTAAACCACAAACTAAACCTCCGTACACGAAAACATCATTTCCAGCGCCTTGATCAGCAAAAACTAAAAGACCAGGAACAAAAAAGTCAACGATAATTCTGTGACCCAACGACATCTAGAGTATTGGGACTTTAGGATGGGTCAGCTACCGTGGCGCTCAGGGACAATCTTAGCAACCCCCCCCCCCCAAACCCCACCCCACCCCCCACACCATCCACCAAATTTAACATTGTATAGTATTGACTTTTTAAACATTTTTAGACGTTTCACACTAACTTCAAGTGCATATTTTTATTTATTAGCTTTACTGAATATTATTATTACCTACTTAAACTAGAATTAACCGATTTGAGCTCCTACCTTTAAGAAATTTTAATTACTTATGGGAACCCCTCCCCCCCCCCCCCCCCCCCCCCCCCCCCCCCCCCCCCCCATCTACCCCTCCCCCCCCCCCCCCCCCCCCCCCCCCAGTCCTTTTTCCACCATCTTTCCCCCGATCTCCTCCAATGTTGTGGTGTTTTCAGTGCATCAACGTTTGGGATTATATGCTGAAGTGACATTTGAATGACACCCCAAAACAAAACAAAAAATTTGTAGCAGTATGTATTGTACACATGACACTTGTTGTTCTATGTGCTATGTTTATGGTGCGTTAAAAAATGTATAGAAACTTATAGCGGTACACACTATGCATATGGCTATTGCGTTCTCTAGGTTTTTGACAACGAAATGGGAAAGAGCAGAATTCTAACGGGTGGGAGCGTTCTGTTGATTTTGTCCAACGTGCTGTACTTACTGGGCGTCCTGCTGCAGTCTGGGAGCCTTCGGGTTGCCATGGCAGCATTGCCATGGCTGGTTGGAAGGTAAGGGTAACAGACATGAATAATCCAGCCTACTAATCTATTTATCTGGTAGCGTCTATGGTTTAGAGGTTATGGTACTTTCTTATTAGCCGACCACAAACAGGGGAAAATCCACAGGTCACAGGACAGTCAGGGAGTGGTAGATTAAACGTATAGTTTTGGTTAGGGTAAAGAAATCGCGCGATAACCTTGGCCTTGGAAGAAACGCGATAAAGCACAGAAAACATGGAAAAACCTTTCTTACCAGCCTCTATAATATTGAACTTTCCAGTGACATCATTTGTGGTCGAAAAAAAAAAGAAAGCACCGAGGTTACAAACGCTAGTTATAATTCCGAAATACCCGCTCCACTTACAGTTCTAGACCACTTTGCGTTGATATTGACCGCTGCAGGAAGCGCCGATCGTTCATGAAAACAAAGACAAACTGTTGAACGTAAAACTGCTCAGTAAAAAAAAAAAAATGTACAAAATAAAAAACACAGAACATTTACCCTTCAAAATGCAGCATCAAAGTTAATGGAACAATCCTATAGTAAGTTGCTACGTTTTAAATACTTGGGTATCCTGATAGTATCCAAGAGGCCGTTCCACAGATCTCTTGCTGTCCTGACGCTAGGAGGCATTTCTTGAGTAGTCGATTTATGAGAGCTCTTCATTTTTCTAAGAGCACTAAATAAATCATTGTCTGTTTGCTGAACCAGACACAGTGTTTTAAAACCTCCTTGAATATGATTTTTTTTTTTCAGGGAATGTATTCTCAGATATGAAAATGTATTTATTCAAATACAGTCATGTTATCTGTTCTTCCAGATCTTCCACGTACATCCTCTCGCTTAGGAAAATCTCCAGGAACTTTGTGCAGTGTAGGAAGAACAGTAGAGGTATTATAAAAAAAAGAAATATTATAGGGTTAGAATGTTTTTTTTTTTAATGTGAACTAGATGTGGCCGGGGCTGGGGAAGGTATTCTAAATATTTAGGGAAACTATGTTGTTCTCAGGACATAAGGTTAGTTGCGTATCTTTTAAAGGACGTTGCAGAACCAACCCCATCATTTTTTGGCTGTTATTTTTCTAGAAAAATTTTACGTTCAGTAGTTTGGCATTGCCACTGAACGGTCAGCTCTCGGTACCACTGTCGAAACCAACGCAAGACAAACCGTCTGCAGCTGGGATCGAACCCGGCACCCCGGCATTACGAAGCTCTTAAGCCACAGATGCAGACTTCTCGAGACATACAGAGACAAATTCTGTTGCACAGTGAAGGAGCAGCCCTGATGCTTTCAAACAAAACATAGAGGGCACTATGAGAATGGAAAACTGTGAGTCAGAGAAATCTGACTGACTGACTGACTGACTTTCTACCCCACCAGGACATCACACAAGCGATAAACACCGGATGACCCTATGTGCCACCATGTGGGTGAGGATCAGCGCGGAGAGGTCCCAGAAATCGCGTTCAGCCTTTAGGCCATATTTATGGCCAGGCTATATTGCGGCCCCTGGCAAGAGCCAGAGTAGGGCTTCAAATAACGAAAAATGCCATTCTAAAAAGGACGGAAAGTCTTGAATGTAATGAGTCAGAGAATAATAGGATCGTCATTTAAAACAACAAAATAAAAGGTGAACATGTGGGTGACACAGTGTTATTATGTTATGCACCAACAAATGACGAATAATGACGAATTAGTAAAGGAGGATTTTTACCTGCAAGTTCAAATATAATAAAAAATGAAAAAAGAGGAAATACGAAAACTCTGGTGGATGGCCTGAATGACAAGATAGGAGATCCCGTTTTCTAAATGTGGAAAACTTTTCGCGGGCTGGTCTTTTCAGTCCAGAGGTTCTCAACCTATGGTTCGCAAACCTTTTTTTGGGTCGAACGACCCTTTCACAGGGGTCGCCAAAGACCTTTGCAAAACACATAGTCATAGAAGTCATTTAGTAGCGACGAAAATAATTGTATTTTGAGGGTCGACACAACATGAGGAACTGTTTTAAACGGTCGCGGCATTATCTAGTCATACTCGCTATCGCCACGAGCTATGATCCCTCATGTTTCCATATAGTAAAGTAAAGGAGCTTTTGACACGCCTTTAGGCGTATAGGGCATATATAGCTAGACCTATATGTTATAGAACAATCAGTACAAGATGGGTGACGTGGTCAGTATTACACCGGTCACCTTTACTTACCGGGACTGCACCAGGTACCCACTCAAGGCTGGGTCGACCTGGGAGCCAAGATCCATATCTCTATATTGCACAGTATAAAACTATTGTCTGCAAAAATGCAAATGGGCCAACAAAGGACCACATACAATGCAGAGTTTTCTTTACTGTCAATTTGTCTGAAGCTGTAACTATACTTGTTGTTTCTTTGCAGGACTGTACAAGGTTGCTATCAATGCTTTGTATCCTTGGCAAACTTTCACGGGCACATATCACTGCTGTCTTATACAGGCAATCGCACTCACGTACACGCAATCGTACATGTACATACAAGCACAAACCCACTACAAAAATGGCGGCGTCCGTGACTTAGGCGTTGCGAGTCCGACTAGTAATTCCAACGTACGGCGATCGAAACCCACTGCTGGCTGCGTGGATTTGTATCATGGTATGGGGCGTCGCATGTCGTCTCAGCCTAAAATGGGTACCAGGATGTATGTCCTGGGGAAGTAAAAACGGCCGGCGTATTGTTGACCCAATTACCCACCCAGTGGCGATTGGTCTGTAAAAATATGAGGGCTCTTCCCATATGACCAATGCGCCCAAAGGCGTAAAAACGGATCTTTACTTTACTTTGCTTTACTTACTACAAAACTGATCGTTGATTTATCGGTGAATCGATAGAGGTATTAGAAGATGCATGTCTAATAGAAACGTACTGTCCGAGAGATGAAAGGCAGGACAGACGAACGGGCTGACGGGTGAACAGGTAGGTAGAAGGGAAATAGACTGACAGACATATAAACTTATATAATAACATGTCAGACCGACCAACCGACTGGCCAGCAGATAGATAGATAGGCAGGCCGATTAGACAGACAAACATATAGACTGACAAGCAGGCAGACAGGCAAGCAGACAGGCAGACAGATACATGTCGCTGTATTAATCCTTCACTTAATCTCAGAACCATGTTGTGTGGCTCGTGTGCCCATTACGAGAACACAGAATTGCAGAAGATTCAAAAACTAAAATCAAGTCAGTAAAAGATGCTGAAACGGATAATCTCTTAGTAAGGTGAGTTGTGATATAACTACAATGTTCTAATTTTAAAAAAAATGGGGGTGTAACTGGCCCGAAAGGGGGGTGGGCGAAGACAGGCATATAGACTGGCTGGTTCTGCACCTCCTTGGTCGTAGACAAATGCTTGTCAGAGCCATATGTAAGCGAGGAATACATTGCGGAGTCACACATAGACTGTCTCGGTCTGAAGAGAATGTTGCTTCGAGGAGTGGCCAACGAATCTGGAAAACGGTGCACATCAGAGGAAAGGCGAGACAGACATACCATACGTGTACCATCAAACTAAAACTCTGCGCTTGCTGCTGAAGATTGAGACGAAACGCATATGGGAATATACCGAGTGCTATGATGTCGGTTGCCATCTCATAACTCAAAATTCCTGGTACCAATCTTCGTCTAGATGGACCTTGGAGCCTTATGGCAGTTTGAAACACCCCCACTCGGTGCAGATTCGAAGACACGACCTTTTGGATGGACTCGAATGCATCTAAAAGCTGTGCTTGTGCTTTGCTGGAAAATAAAAATCTTCACATTCAACGCCATATAAAAATGGCTTTACATTGCGCGCCACCAAGAGTCCGGAAAAGGCTTCCTGCAGTGTTGATGCGATCAAAGGAGACAGACCCACATACTGTCCCGACCGGTGACGAAGTCGTCTAGCGGCGAGCTAAAGGGCGACCAGGTCGACGAGCTGTGCTACCACAGGTCGTTTTTATATCCTCTTCGTGTTCCTGTTGCCACGTCAGTGTCTTTTCCCTTTCGCACTGGACATTGCAATCTCAACAACACTCACATAAATTAGCTCTCTGCCAGTGTCCTCGTGCTGAACAGATTCCATAACATGTCTTGCAAGACTGTCCTCTCTTGGCCACACCCAGCAGACCTGACACCCAAGCTTTGGGGGAACCTAAGGGACATCCATTATAGGGGGGGGGGGGGGAGGTAGGGTTCGTAGTAGTCGCTATTCATTTAACACTAACCCTAATCTCTCTATAATAACAAATGTCCCCAAATCACGCATGATGTGGTCGCTGAGCATAAAAGAACCCGTAAGTTTACTTACATAAATAATTTAAACATAAAAAAAAATTATTGATAAGTAATTACACAACCGGGAAAAGGTCAGCCGAAGATGAAAGGGTCAAAACTTACAGTTTTTAGTTGTTTTTTTTTAAAGTCTGTTGGTTAGGTTCACGTTAGTGGACCCCAAATACAGTAGGTCACTTTTCATTCACAAATTTGTTGGGCTGGTCGACTTTCCTGAATGTTACGGGTGTGTACCGCTCAGTTATTTGCTGTCTGCAGTGTCTTGCACTTACAATTTTATTCCGAGAAAGAGAATGCCTGTGACATAAGTTGCAGCTCTCTCTTAAGGGGGAGGTGGGGGGGGGGGGGGGCGCTAGGCCGAGTTTCTCCATGTTTTCTGAAATTCTGCTGTATATTTAACCTGTAAAGTCTCTATTTTTATTCTTTTTTTTCTCATTCACCTGCTGTAAACTCCGACGGAAAGTTCTGGGTGTTCGTCCACCTCTGGACTTTAGTCGTGTTGTGGAGCCTAAATGTTGCGTGTCACGTAGAATTCCGGTCGTAATTTTTTAACACACATTGTGTAGCTGTTTTCCCCAAAATATTGATCAGTTTTTCCAGACCACTATGAGCAAAAAAGCTTAAGCCTTGATTAATTGCACAATACTAATAAGAATATGAATGTTTATTATTAACTCACCAATTATTTCTCCACAGTTCCGAAAGTGACTCCAGCGACATCCAGGTCATTTTTGACCGCACATTGGGCGTGTCAGAAAACAGACAAATTCTGGAACATGAAGATGTAATACTTGTTGTGTATTGTCAACTTTCGTGTTGTGTGAAAGGGGGCATATGAGGAATGGAATGGGATGAAGGAAGAAATTATTGCAGAAAGAATGAGAGCTAAGCGTCTGAGAAGAAATAGGCTAAACACAAATGTTGACAACAATGGCCCTGAAATCCCATGCTATAATTGTGATAGACCTTTCTTAACACGGGCGGGTCTTGCTGGTCACACTTTTGCTATCCTGATTGGATGTAAGTCTCATGCCTACCCCTCATCATCTGTTCTCTTTACCCTAGTGGCACATGAGGCTTCAGAGAGGACTCTCTGTGCTTTCCTGTCCTGTGCAATCTCCCGTGCAGTTCTACATGTTAGAGATGCCGCACTCAGGTTACTTTCCATCGTTCGTCCCCATGTTGTTTTTGGGTGCCCTTGTTTATCTTTCCTTCTGGTGTCCATGTGAGAGCTGTTGTGGCAAGTACATCAGGATTCACGTGGCCCAGCCATTTCCATCTTCTCTTGGTTATCATACTGTCTAAAGTTTCTTGGTTTGTGACTTGAAGCAGTTTAGTGTTTGAGATTGTATCTGACTAGAACATTGTAATAATTCTTCGTAGACATGTGGTGGAAGGTGGATAGCTTGTGTGCATCCATTTTGGTCATTCTCCAGCATTTTGCTCCATAAAGAAGAACTGGCAAATTGATGCTCTTGTAGAGTCGGAGTTTTGTTCCTCTGCAGTACCTATTGGATTTCCAGATTTGTCTCATCCTTCCAAAAGCAGCTCTAGCTTTGTTCAGGTGTGACTGTATGTCTTCCTCTGTCCCTCCCAGTAGGGACACCACATTACTACAATATGGGAAATGTTCTACATTTTCAAATGTTTGGTTATTTATGGTTACTGGTTGTTGGTTTGGACTATTTGTCATGATCTTAGTTTTCTTTGTATTTATTCTCAATCCCACCATTTCTGTTGTGCTGTGTAGTCTGTTACTTCTCTCTTGTATGCCACCTCATAGCACAATATAAAATTATCGTCTGGAAAGACGGAAAGATGCCAACCATGTCAACCTACCTGTAACCCCCAAAGAAAAGACCTATCCCGAACATAAACCCTAATAAGAATATTCAAGATACTCGTATCATAAACCCAACCCTAACTTCTTTCTTTTCTTTTCTTTCCCCCTATACCCCAGCGTAGTGTGGGAAAAGGGGGGGGGGGGGGAGAGAGATGTAACATTCGTTTATGAGCTCTGTCAAGAGCACTATTAAGACTTCTAGCAGCGTTCATGTGAAACCCGTTCGTGCTGCACAGCGCATAATCGCCTGCGTTGAACATGATCTTGCCAATTCTCTTCATGCCTAGTGACTTCAAATAGGATTGTCCATGCCTTTCTGTCCTGTGCAATCTTCAGTTCATTTTTTCATGTCAGAGATGCAGAACTCAGTTCACTTTCCATCACTCGTCTCCATTTTGATTCTGTGGGTGATGGCCTTCTTTCTCTTTCCATCTGGTGTCAAAGTAAGAAGTGTTTTAGCAGGTATATCAGAATTTATTCTCATGACGTGGCCAAAACAGTTCCATATTCTCTTTGTTATCACAATGTCTTCAGTTTCTTGATTTGTGAATTAAAGTAGTTTAATGTTTGAAACTGTATCTAGCAAGACAGTTTTAATAATTCTACGTAGACATGCGTGGTGGAAGGTGGATAACTTGTGCGCATGTTTTTTTTTTAGTCATTGTCCAGCATTCTGTTCTATTGTCATGTAAAACGTACTGGCTAATGAACAAAAAAAGCACATGTTTATCGTCCCAAGATGTATAGGTCCTGTTTCTGACTCTCGGAAAGTTCTAATATGTTCGTCCACTCCTGGACTTCGATCTTGATCTACTACTTGAGTTTTACGTTTTGCAGATCTGGCTTTTTTATATGCGAACTATTAGTTCTTCGTCTCTCATGCAGATGCACTCTGACTTCGAAAAGGACAGTCCTAATTACTTGACTTTTATGACATCCTGGGGGTGGGGAAGGGAAGGGCAGCGAGTCTCTACTTTGCTCTGCAAAATGGAACCCTAGAACCCATATGGTGGAAACACATTACAATAATTAACATATCGGCTGATAAAGATTAGATCTTCCAATATCCTTGAAAAAAAAAAAAAAAAAAAGATCCCTTTACGCGCCCTTAGGCGCATCGGGCATATGGGAAGAGCACCCTTATTTTTACAGACCAATTGGCACTCGGTGGGTAATGTGGTCAGCATTACGCCGGTCGTCTCTACTTCCCCAGAACAGCCATCCTGGTACCCATTTGAGGCTGGGTCGACCTGTGACGTCCCATACCACGATAAAAATCCACGCAGCCAGCAGTGGGTTTCGATCGCAGTATGTTGGCTTACGAGTCGGACTCGCAACGCCTTAGCCACGGACGCCGCCAACATCCTTTTGCTCAAGCTTAACTGCGTATGTTGAGAGTAACATTTTTGGTATATTATGGGGAGACTTTGTCCACAAAGAATGTCTGCTCCGAAATATAAAATATAAAAACATGATTGTAAAACAATGTACTTTTTGCTGAAGCAAAGACACCAGCGTTAGTTGGGATATGGCTCTTGTCTGGAGGATGGTCGCATTCCAAAGGATCTCCTGTGTGGGGGAACTGGTAACATGGATAACATCTGTAGAGAGTCCGATGCTATGGTTTAAAGACATGCAAAGCGACTTGAAAGATATCATTCTTCTTCTTCTTCTTCTTCATCTTTTTCTTCTTCTTCTTCTTCTTCCTCTTCTTCTTCTTATTCTTCTTCTTCGCGTTCATCGGCTGTAAACTCCGGCGGAAAGTTCTGGTTGTTCATTCACCTCTGGGCTTCAGACCTGTTCCACAACCTGAATGTTGCGTGCAAATTCGTTTTACAGATCTAACTTACTTGTATGTAGACTGTTTGTTCCTTTCCTCTCAGGCAGATATATTTTGACTTAAAAGAAAACTTCCCAAATTTTCCTTTTACAACATGCTTGATATTTGGGTTGGGGGGGGGGGGGGGGGGAGACCTTTCACGGTGTGTGTGGGTGTGTGTGTGGGTGTGTGTGGATGTGTATATATGTCTGTGTGTGTTTGTCTCATACAGTTTCTAGAGGATGGGCGGTCACAAAGTACCTCATCTTCCCGGATCCAGCGCTTGTGCTGTTATCAAGGTTGTTATTGTTACCATTTATCTTATCGTTCTAAGGATCGTTATCGTTATTCTTTTGGCTGCTGTTGTTGGCGTCACGATCGTTGTTAAATTTACCATCTCTTGTTAACTAATTGTCCAGCATTCACAGCCGAATGTTAAAACTGGCTTTGTGTAATGGGCCAGAATAGTTTTCTGACCGTCAACTATATATAGGGGTTTCATGCACAAGCTATTCTTGGTTGTACACAAGGCGTATTTGCTTATATAATTATATTTCTTTGAGTATAATGCCCTGTCGATCTGATTGACTGCCACGACTGTCTTCTCAATCGCCCCCCCCCCCTCCCCCTACTACTACTACCACTGCTGCTGCTGCTGCTGCTGCTGCTACTGCTACTACTACTGCTGCTGTTTTTAAGACTACTGATACTATTTATATTACTGCTACTTCTGCTGCTGCTACTGCCCCATTACTACTACTACTACTACTACTACTACTACTACTACTACTACTACTACTACTACTACTACTACTACTACTACTACTACTACTATGACTACTGTTGTTGCTGCTACAATTTCTACTACTACCAGAAACAACAACTACTACTACCACTGCTGCTGCTACTGCTGCTACTACTGCTACTGCTATTTCTAAGACTACTGATACTATTTCTTTTACTGCTACTTCTGCTGCTGCTACTTCATTACTACTACTACTATGACTACTGTTTTTGCTCCTACAAATTCTACTACTTCGACGCACCAACAACTACTACTACCACTGCTGCTGCTACTGCTACTACTACTACTACTGCTGCTATTTCTAAGACTACTGATACTATTTCTATTACTACTACTTCTGCTGCTGCCACTACTCAATTACTACAACTAATATGATTACTGTTGTTGCTACTACAACTTCTGCTACTACTATCACCAGCAACAACAACTACTACTACCGCTACTGCTGCTGAAATCACCACCACTGTCGCTATTACTACTACAAGTACTACTACAAGTACCACATCTGTTACTACTACTACTGCCTGCTGCTACTATTAAACCAGCAACTACTACTTCTGCTACAACTACTATCACTACTGTTGCTACTACTATTGCTTACCCCAACGCCAACTAGAAACCACCACCACTATCATTTCTACTACAAGTACTACTTCTATTACTGCTACTACTTTTACTACTACTACTACTACTACTACTACTACTACTACTACTACTACTACTACTACTACTACTACTACTACTACTACTACTACTGTTGCTGCTGTTGCGATGGCTGCAACTACTAATTATCCTCCTTCCTACACCACTACCTTTCTTTCCAGTTCTATTTTACGGTCGCCACTTATCCTTACAATGTTTTCAAATCCAGAAAAGGGAGACAACCACATTGTGGAGAGCAACTACACTACAAGTTAGTTCCCTTGATGTAGAAACTACCTCAGATTCAGAAACGACAAACATCACATCGGAGCAAGAGCTGATAGTGAGTAATACATTTAGCAGTCAAGGAACTAAACTTGACTGCTAAAAAACTCATAGTTATCTGATGGCTCCTTACTACTCAACAAAAGAAACGCATACATTCTTCTTCTTCTTCTTTTTCTTCTTCTTTTTTTGCCATCTATCCCCCAGTAGAGCACAGGCCCTCAACCAACTGACAGCAAGTCACTCTTTCGCTGTTGTATGCAGTTCACCCAATGTCCTCCCTATCTATCTTCTACCGTTGATCACTCCGGTTCTCACAATGTTTCACTTAACCTGACTTCTTTGCCTCTTTGTTGACGGTAGAACAATGATGCCTCTTTCTTTTTTAGACGCTTTTATTCAGACACATTAGTTCATTCCCCAACTCATTCATCTGTCTATTCATAGACACATTAGTCCATTCCTCAACTCATTTATCTGTCCATTCATAGACACATCAGTTCGTTCATTAACTCATTTATCTGTCCATTCATAGACACATCAGTTCATTCATCAACTCATTTATCTGTCCATTCATAGACACATCAGTTCATTCATAAACTCATTCATCGGTCCATTCATAGACACATCAGTTCATTCATAAACACATTTATCTGTCCAATCATAGACACATCAGTTCATTCATAAACTCATTCATCTGTCCATTCATAGACACATCAGTTCATTCATAAACTCATTCATCTGGCCATTCATAGACACATTAGTTCATTCATAAACTCATTCATCTGTCCATTCATAGACACATCAGTTCATTCATAAACTCATTCATCTGGCCATTCATAGACATATCTGTTCATTCATAAACTCATTCATCTGGCCATTCATAGACATTATAAATAGTTTACCTACTTATTTCTGGATACACTCATCTACAAGTTTGTCTATCCTTTCATAGACACACCCCTTCACTCATCCACCAGTTCGTCTGTCCTTTCATAGACACATCCATTTACTCATCTAGCCCATGAATCTCCTCAGCTATTCATTCATATACACGACCATTCACTCGTTCTCCGATTCAAAGTCACACCCATTCACTCTTTTACCTCATGAATCGCCTCAGCTATCCATTGATTGCCATACCCATTCACTCATTTACCTCATGAATCGCCTCAGCTATCCATTGATCGCCACACCCATTCACTCATTTACCTCATGAATCGCCTCAGCTATCCATTGATCGCCACACCCAATCACTCATTTATCTCATGAATCGCCTCAGCTATCCATTGATCGCCACACCCATTCACTCATTTACCTCATGAATCGCCTCAGCTATCCATTGATCGCCCACACCCATTCACTCATTTACCTCATGAATCGCCTCAGCTATCCATTGATCGCCACACCCATTCACTCATTTACCTCATGAATCGCCTCAGCTATCCATTGATCGCCACACCCATTCACTCATTTACCTCATGAATCGCCTCAGCTATCCATTGATCGCCACACCCATTCACTCATTTACCTCATGAATCGCCTCAGCTATCCATTGATCGCCACACCCATTCACTCATCTTACCTCATGAATCGCCTCAGCTATCCATTGATCGCCATACCCATTCACTCATTTACCTCATGAATCGCCTCAGCTATCCATTGATCGCCACACCCATTCACTCATTTACCTCATGAATCGCCTCAGCTATCCATTGATCGCCATACCCATTCACTCATTTACCTCATGAATCGCCTCAGCTATCCATTGATCGCCACACCCATTCACTCATTTACCTCATGAATCGCCTCAGCTATCCATTGATCGCCACACCCATTCACTCATTTACCTCATGAATCGCCTCAGCTATCCATTGATCGCCACACCCCATTCACTCATTTACCTCATGAATCGCCTCAGCTATCCATTGATCGCCACACCCATTCACTCATTTACCTCATGAATCGCCTCAGCTATCCATTGATCGCCATACCCATTCACTCATTTACCTCGTGAATCGCCTCAGCTATCCATTGATCGCCACACCCATTCACTCATTTACCTCATGAATCGCCTCAGCTATCCATTGATCGCCACACCCATTCACTCATTTACCTCATGAATCGCCTCAGCTATCCATTGATCGCCACACCCATTCACTCATTTACCTCATGAATCGCCTCAGCTATCCATTGATCGCCACACCCATTCACTCATTTACCTCATGAATCGCCTCAGCTATCCATTGATCGCCACAACCCATTCACAGTTCATTTACCTCATGAATCGCCTCAGCTATCCATTGATCGCCACACCATTCACTCATTTACCTCATGAATCGCCTCAGCTATCCATTGATCGCCACATCCATTCACTCATTTACCTCATGAATCGCCTCAGCTATCCATTGATCGCCACACCCATTCACTCATTTACCTCATGAATCGCCTCAGCTATCCATTGATCGCCATACCCATTCACTCATTTACCTCATGAATCGCCTCAGCTATCCATTGATCGCCATACCCATTCACTCATTTACCTCATGAATCGCCTCAGCTATCCATTGATCGCCATACCCATTCACTCATTTACCTCATGAATCGCCTCAGCTATCCATTGATCGCCATACCCATTCACTCATTTACCTCATGAATCGCCTCAGCTATCCATTGATCGCCACACCCATTCACTCATTTACCTCATGAATCGCCTCAGCTATCCATTGATCGCCACACCCATTCACTCATTTACCTCATGAATCGCCTCAGCTATCCATTGATCGCCACACCCATTCACTCATTTACCTCATGAATCGCCTCAGCTATCCACTGATCGCCACACCCATTCACTCATTTACCTCATGAATCGCCTCAGCTATCCACTGATCGCCACACCCATTCACTCATTTACCTCATGAATCGCCTCAGCTATCCATTGATCGCCACACCCATTCACTCATTTACCTCATGAATCTCCTCAGCTATCCATTGATCGCCATACCCATTCACTCATTTACCTCATGAATCGCCTCAGCAATCCATTGATCGCCACACCCATTCACTCATTTACCTCATGAATCGCCTCAGCTATCCATTGATCGCCACACCCATTCACTCATTTACCCCATGAATCGCCTCAGCTATCCATTGATCGCCACACCCATTCACTCATTTACTCATGAATCGCCTCAGCTATCCATTGATCGCCACACCCATTCACTCATTTACCTCATGAATCGCCTCAGCTATCCATTGATCGCCATACCCATTCACTCATTTACCTCATGAATCGCCTCAGCTATCCATTGATCGCCATACCCATTCACTCATTTACCTCATGAATCGCCTCAGCTATCCATTGATCGCCATACCCATTCACTCATTTACCTCATGAATCGCCTCAGCTATCCATTGATCGCCACACCCATTCACTCATTTACCTCATGAATCGCCTCAGCTATCCATTGATCGCCACACCCATTCACTCATTTACCTCATGAATCGCCTCATCTATCCATTGATCGCCATCACCCATTCACCCACCTAAAGTAAAGGATCCTTTTCCACGCCTTGGGCGTATTGGGTATGTAGAGCTGGACCTATATTTTATAGACCAAATGGAACTTCGTGGGTGATGTGGCCAGCATCACGCCGGCCGCTATTACTTCCTAGGACTGTACCTGGTACCCAGTCAAGGCTGGGTCGACCTAGGCAAGGTCACCTATTGGAAAAAAATGTCGGCCCCTTTCAGGAACTGAACCCACGACCTTCTGATCCACAGGCAAGCGTCTAACCGCTAGACCCCGGTGACTCCCTTCCCTCACCTATGCATCCATATTTTCTCGTGTTAACCTCATATTATTCTCCTGTTCGCAGTGGAACGACCATGTCACTATACCAGCTTCGGCCGATTTCAAAGAGTTATCACTTTTGCGACATCAACGGTTATCGTTAGCGTCGCAAATAGCAACCATGAGCCAGTCCTCATCCGAGACGAGTGACCAGCGAGTGCGGTCTTGGATCTCCCAAAGTACGCCTGAAGACGAGACGCCGCCATGTCTCACGCTGACCTTGAATCTGGACACTGTCAGCAAGTCGACCAGTGACATGACAGAGGACAATTTCTTTCAAAACAGAAAATGTAACTTTGCTAGAGCGTTGCAATTAAGTTTTAGGAAGAATTCTGTTTAACCGTTGTCAGGATCTCGGTTGTTTCTGTCAGTCATTCAGGTACTGTCCCCACAATGAGAGTTGGCTGCGAAGTCAAAGAAAATTTTACAAAAAATATTAAACTTGACCTTTTTTTTTTTTTTAAAGATGTCTAATCAGTACTGTTTGCACTTAAACAAATTCTAGTAAATCAAAAGGTCAAAAGAAGACACTGGCTCCAGATAGACATATATTGAAAAAACCCTGAGAATAATATACCTACTAGAACAATGGCTCTCAACCCTCCTAATGCCGCGACCCTTTAATAAAGTTCCCTCATGTTGCGGAGGCCCCCTTACAATTATTTTCTTTCATAACGTCAATTAATATGTTTTTTTTTTCTGATGGTCTTAGGATCGTTCGACCCAAAGAGTGTCGCGACCGTCAGGCTGAGAACCGCTGTACTATAATATCTTTAAACTGGAACCCACATGGGCATAAAAAACAAAACAAACCACCACCCCCCCAAAAAAAAAAAAAAAAAAATTGGGCAGAAAGGGAAGCCCGAGAGTGGAGTTGAAAAGATGGAAAGGCGAGCTGCATGCAAAGGCAGAGGATAGGACGATTTGTGTGATGGTTGGTTGGACACCTATGCTCCAGTGGCGGGATAAAGCGCATCAGAAGACTAAGATGACATGCGGGGCAGTTAAAAACAAGTCCGCCAGAACATGACATCCTATATGAGGACTGCTCCATAAATGACATACACAGTCACAGTTGGTAAATAATTGCGGGCCGCATCATGAAAATCAGGAAAATTGTGTAGCCCATAATGTGAAAACGGACCTGTTCACGTTTCCAGGCCCAGGATTAGAGTAACTTCTCTTGCCATTCATGCCTTCTTAG